TTGGGTGGGGCGATCTGGGGGCCTGTACAGTCGTCTGGGAGACTGGGCAAATGGAAAGGCTTGGAGACGGGGCGGTGGGGGTCTGCACAGCCGTCTTGGAGACGGGGCGCTGGAGCCGTCTAGAGCTATTATGAACTGCTCTTGGGGCTGTCTTGCGTGGGTCTTGTGCCGTCTGTGGGGCTTTGTGGGGGCTCTCCTGGGGGCCTCTGAGCGCGTCTTCGGGCGAGCTGGGGGCCTGAGTAGCCGTCTTGGGCGCTGCGAGGACGAAAAAACAAGATATAGTGAACATGTGCGTTTCCCGTCGGGAATGGGACGATTTGGGCCTCTTGGGGCTCTCCCGGGGCCCTTCTAAGCCATCTGGGGAGCCTCCTGGCTTTGGGGGCCTCTGAGGCTGTCCTGGCGCTCCCAGGGGGGCTCTGAAGCTGTCTTGGGTGCGTCTTGGGTGCGTCTTGGGCCGTTTCGGGTGCCTCTGGAGCCGTTCCGGGGCCGTGTGGAGCCGTTTGGGGGCCCTCCTGGGGGCCTCTGGGCGCGTCTTGGGGCAAGCTGGGGGGCCTGTATAGGAGGTGTAATGAAAGTGTTCGTTTCCCGTCGGGAATGGGACGATTTTGGCCTCTTGGGGCTCTCCTGGGCCATCTTGGGAGCCTCCTGGCCTGCCTTGGGAGCCCCTGGGGCTGTCTTGGGGCTCCCAAGGGTGCTCTGAGGCCGTCTTGGCGCCCCCTGGAGCCTCTCGGAGCCGTCCCGTGGGCTGTTATGAACTGCTCTTGGGGCTGTCTTGGGTGCGTCTTGGGCCGTCTGGGGCGCCTCTGGAGCCGTCCCGGGGCCGACTCGGGCCGTTTGGGGGCCCTCCTGGGGTGCTCAGGGGGCGGCTTGGGGCGAGCTGCCTTGAGAGCCTCCTGGCCTGCCTTGGAGGCCTCTGGGACCGACCTGGGGCTCGGTTGGGTCCCTCTTGGTCTGTCCGGGCGCCCTCGTGGGCGTCTCTGAGCCGTCTCGGAGCGGCCCGGGAGCTCGCAGGGCGGCCCGGAGGGCCTGGCCAGTCTTTCAAGACAGAGGACCTTATGGCACGCAAAGATCGCTGCATTGTAGAAGAGACTAGTGCTGACCCGTGGACTACCGTCCACGAATGCCAGAGGAGGATTGAGCGTGCGCTCGTTGCTGCGTATTGCTTCAGGGTGCACTGTTTGCTTGATGATCCTGACGGCGTCTGGAACAGCGCTAGCAGCAGCAGCAGCAGCAGCAGCAGCAGCAGCAGCAGCAGATCCAGCACCATCGGCAGTAGCAGCAGCAACAGCTGCAGCAGCAACTCCAGCAACAACAGAAGCAACGCGGGGGCCTCCCAGGGGCCTTCTCGTCCTCGTCCTCCTCGTCCTCGTCCTCGTCCTCGTCGTCGTCGTCGTCGTCGTCGTCGTCGTCGTCGTCGTCGTCGTCGTCGTCGTCGTCGTCGTCGTCGTCTTCGTCGTCGTCGTCGTCGTCGTCGTGGTCGTGGTCGTCGTCGTCGTCGGCGTCGGCGTCGTCGTCGTCGTCGCTGTCGTCATCGACGTCGTCGTCGTCGTCATCGACGTCGTCGTCGTCGCCGTCATTGTCGCCGCAAGGAGTGCTCCAGACCGCGCCCTTGCAGGGCATGCGTCTGGCGACATGTACGCCCATGCACTCGCACCGCGCAGCCTGAGCCAAGAGTGCCGGCATCCGACGTGTGCTCTTGTGTTCCCGTAGCTCTGATGCGCGCGGAATTTCCACCGCTCCCCCGCAGCTTTGAAACATCAGTGCGCCGTGCGAGACCCGTTCAGTCCCCAGCACGCGCTCCAGAGGCCCCCCGAAGGCGCCATGCCCCAGCCGGGCATACATACACGCCGCGCAGCAGTCTCCCCACCACGTCCATCGGCTCTCACCCCACGGAGGCATCTGGGCACACTGGCGCCACTTCTCCCCAAAACGCCCCTCCAGGACCTCTCAGGCATGACCGCCCCTTCCCCCCTCCGCCTCCACCCCAAGAGCGTGGCCCCTTCGCGGGTTCCTCAGGACACGTCGGCCCATCCACCCGTGCGCAGCCAGCGTGCTCTGGGCCTTCCTGCTCCGAAGCATCGCCCCTGATTGGAAAAAAAACCATACCCCACACCTCTTGGGACACGCATCGCCTGGGAGGGGATGCAAAAAAGCCCTGCTTGACCACCCGCAGACGTCCCAGGCCCCCTTTCCGTGGACCCCTCCTGCACGGAGCGTGTCCCAAGAGGTGTGGGGTACGGTTTTCTCCATGCCAAACGCGCGCTCCCCCTCGCCTTCCTCCTCCCCGCCCCTTGCTCGCGCCCCCCCTGTTCCTGCGGCTGCTGCTGCTGCCCCTGCTGCTGCTGCTGCTGCTGCTGCTGCTGCTGCTGCTGCTGCTGCTGCTGCTGCTGCTGCTGCTGCTGCCCTTGCTCTCCCTCCACATGCTCCTCCTCCCCTCCTCTCGCCCTCCTCCTCCGTCTCATCCCCTTCCTCCTGTCCAGGCTGTAGCAGGCTGTTCCCAGCGGAGGCATCGGGGAAGCGGCGGGGGGCCCTCCGATACCTGGGAGGGTGTCATCGTGGGGCTCTGTGGGAGCCTCTTGAGCCTCTGGGAGCCTCTGGAGAGCTCTTGGGAGCGCCTCTGAAGCCTTCTGGGAGCCTCTGGAGAGCGCCCAGGGGCCTCTTGGGAGCGCCTCCGGGGCCTTCTGGGGGACTCTCGGGGGCGTCTTGGAGCCTTGCTGGCCGTGGAGGGGCCCAGAGGGGGGGGAAGCGCTCCGAACTGGACACTCTTAGGCGTCCCTTGGGGCTGTCTGGGGGGGTTCTTGGGCCGTCTTCGGGGCCCCGGGAGCTCGATCGGGGGCCTCTGGGGCCGTCTTGGGGACTCTCCTGGAAGCCCCCCGGGCAGCATGGGCCCGATTTCGGACGCCCGCGGTGCCGTGGTGGGCGTCTTGGAGCGGGCGGGAGGAGCACCACCGGAAACGTCAAAAACCCTCGAGAACATCGATAGTTTTGCGGCCTCGGGGCCCTCGTGGGGGTCCCCTAGGAGCTCTGTGGAAGCTCGTGGGGGCCCTCCGAGCCCGTCCTGGGGCCCTCGAGCTCGCTGGGGAGCTTCCGGGAGACTCTCGAGGCCTCCGCGTTGGGGCCCTCATGGGCCGTCCCGGGGCTGTCCCGGGCCGGGACGGCGTCACCCCACAGGCGGGGCCCCCGGGGCGCCGCCAAGGGTGACCATCGCTCGCCCATGTCGCACGCGCAAATGCCCGGTATTGTAGTATAAATGACGTCGGGCTCCAGCTTCGCCTCCCACATCTCACTGAGCACTGACAACGCGTGTTGCCATTGCCCGCCTTTTCTGCATGCGCTGATAGTCGCAACGTAGTGGTTTGGGACGAGTTGCACACCCAATCGAACTCCTTCGCGAAGCAACCGCAGTGCGGCGCTCCATTCTTTTGTCAGGCCGCAGTTCTTGATCGACGCTTCGAGGGACATAACGCTTTCTTGAGACTATCCAGAACGACATGGCACTGGGGCTTGTGCCAAAATGGCTTGAGCCAAAATGGCTAGAGCCAAAATGGCTACGGACCGGCCAGTGTCGAACAGATCCGCCACCACGCCTCCTGGCGCGTGGAGGCGTGGTGAATGCCAAGTGAGCGCCGATCAAGACAGGGTCTTACGCGAGATGGCACAGCGACCTTACGCAGCCGCTTACGCGGGCCACCAGCGCGGCACGCCACATTCAAGACGAGGGCGCTCACGCGCGACCTTATGCGGGCAGCTTACGCGCTTATGTCGGCCTAGACGACCCTGTTATTTTCGCGTCGCTCAAGAGCTGTCAGGTGGGACTTTTTTGTTCTGATGAGGGACCTCCGCCTCCTCTAGCCGCGTCCCGCCCCGTGCACCGCCTACCTCTCGCAGGGCCACGATCCCTGATAAAAAACGGTGGGTCCGCGCTCCCGAGGCAGTGACCCCTAGTAAAAAAACTATGTTTTCGTGTCCGAGCTTCCAAGACACCCCATGTAGGCAACCAAGGACACCACGATGGCCGAAGATGACTCGAAGATGGCTCAAGATGGCCCTAAGGCATCTGGGTATGGCCTCCGGATGGCCCAAGGTGCCTCCAAGAGGGCCAAACAGGGCCATAAGAGGACCTCCAACATGGTTCGGAGAGGCCCAAAACATTGATTTCCATATGATTTTCGAATGATTTTCGCAATCTCGCATTTTCTGGCTTCCGTCAGCTTACGACAGCCCAAGGAACCTCCACGATGGCCCCGAGACGGCCCAAGCGGCCCCCAAGAAAGTCCCAAGATGGCCTAAGAAAGCCCCAGGATGGCCCAAGAGGTATCCAAGACGGCGCCAACACCAAATGGACCCCCAAGACTGCCTCATACGAGGCCAAGGCAGCCCCAAAGATGGCCCACACGAGTTCCATGAGAGACCCTCGAATAGTGAAAACGAACAGTGCCTCATGTGACGGCCTTCCTCTTCCTCGACCTCCTCCTCCTACTGCTCCTCCTTCTCCTCATCCTCGTCCTCGTCCTCGTCCTCGTCATCATCATCATCATCATCATCATCATCATCATCATCATCATCATCATCATCATCATCATCATCATCATCATCATCATCATCATCATCATCATCATCATCATCATCATCATCATCATCATCATCATCATCATCATCATCATCATCATCATCATCATCATCATCTTCATCATCAGCAGCAGCAGCAGCATCATCATCACCATCATCATCATCATAATCATCATCATAATTATCATCGTCATCATCATCTCATCATCATCATCATCATCATCATCATCATCATCATCATCATCATCATCATCATCATCTTCATATTCATCTTCATCTTCATCTTCATATTCATCTTCATCTTCATCTTCATCTTCATCTTCATCTTCATCTTCATCTTCATCTTCATCAGCAACATTCACATCAACACCAACATCATCAACACCATCCTCATGATCCTCGACATCCTCAGTACGGTTCTCCCAAACCTGGAGACACGAGGTGTCACACGTGACGGCCTCCCGTGTCCCCTCAAGCACTCGCCACCGAGAATGTTGGGCTGGCACTGTGGCGGGAGTTGCCGCAGGCAGCTGGATGAGATGTTGGGGAAAATCAGTCTCTCTTTCGGGTTCGTGTCGCGCGTGCGGGCGAGGCGACGCTGCATGGTCGGGCGAGAGGAATGACTCCGCTGTGGCTAGGGCGGGTCAAGACAAAAGACCGCCCCTCTGGTGGGCTGGCGTGGCCGGGGGAACACCCACGAAACACCACTGAAGCACCAGAAGGACACCAATCGGGAAACCATTCTGGACACCAACGGGACAACAAAAAGGACACCAATCAGGACATTGACGGGACACCGACCAGAAACCGACGGGACACCGACGGCGGGACACTCACGGGACACCGACGGGACACCGACGGAACACCGACAGAACACCGACGGAACACCGACGCCACGGCGGGACACCCCCAGCCACTGCCCGCGGACACCGAAGGGACACCGGCGGGACACCACGGCGGGACGTGACCCACCGGTCGCAAAAAGTGGGTAGAAACATGAAGTAGGAAGGCGTTAGAAGTAGATTGGGGCCCGCCCCCTGAAAAGGAGGGGGAAGAGAAACCGTTGGACTCTTGACGTAGGAAGGCGCTTTAAAAAAATATTAGCCTTTGGCGACGATCGATGGGTACAAGGGTGGACGGCGGCCTACGTAGCTGATTCTGGAAGCCCGACCCCCTCCCAAACATTGGCTCTTGGGGGGGCTTTGCTTCCGCCACCTTCTGCCGAGCTCCCACCGGTTTCCACCGGCGGGGCCCGCCCCCGCTTTCCTCCCGCCGCCCTCTGTAAGGAGCTGTCAATTCCTTCGATCCTCGAAGGCGAAGCCCTTTCTAGAGTGCCCTGCGTGGATGGAGGGCGATTCCCTGGCAAACTCGTTGTGGTTTGCCTCGGCTACGCAGCTGAATCTGGATCTGACCGCTGCTGCGCAATTCAAGCAAGGCTCTCACCACACACGTCCATAAGGCTCTCATCTCTCCAGCGGGCTCTCGTCACAGTAAGGCCGCATACGTGTAAGTCTTGAGAGGTGAGGAGGGCTGCGTGATTTCTGACACGACGTGCCTGTAACGTCTGCAACCTCTATTTGCATCTTCTGAAAAAAAAAAAAAAAAAAAAAAAAAAAAAAAAAAAAAAAAAAAAAAAAAAAAAAAAAAAAAAAAAAAAAAAAAAAACATGGGTCAAGCTCCGGGGGGCCGAGTCGGCGCACTGCATAGTTAGGTCTCTGAGATGAATGTACTTTGGCCCCTCCTGTACCTCACCGTCCTCTTCCAAGTGCTCCCCCGCTCCTTCGCCCAATTCCTCCTCCTCCGCCTTCTCTCATGTCCCCACCTCCACCTCATCCTGAAAGCACAACTCAGCAATCCGACCAGTGTTGTCTGCCTCCTCGTCCCCCTCCTCCCCTCCGCCGCTCTTTGCCTCCCCGCAGACGCTCGACGCTGTTTCCTCACGGCGTGGGACCCGGGTTGTCTCGACCCTTCCCTGGGGCAAGGTTTGCAAGGTCTGTCACCCAGAACTGTTTGTTGACGGGCACAAGACCCGCTGTGGGCCCCCCGAAGTCTTCGTCCTCCCCCTCCTCCTCCTCCTCCTCCTCCTCCTCCTCCTCCTCCTCCTCCTCCTCCTCCTCCTCCTCCTCCTCCTCCTCCTCCTCCTCCTCCTCCTCCTCCTCCTCCCGCTCCTCCACTTACCTCTCTAGGCAGATGTTCCACTGCACCCCTCTGCACTTCCCTGAAGAAGGCAACTTGCCTGGGCATCGCTTCAGGACCCGCCCGTTCCCCGTCAGCTCTCATCGGGAGCGTTTCTGACTGGGCTGGTGGGGACACTTTTTTGATCGCGACCGCGGCGAAGGAAATGTCGGGCGGCGCCCATGGGCGGTGCAGACAAGCAACGGCCTAAAGTAGCGCAAGGAAGAGGAAGGGCGAAAAGAGGACAAGACCAAGCAGGGGAAGAGGCAAACAGGAGGCGAGCCTCGCTGCCGCTCGGTGGAGAGCGCACGCCAGGAGGTACATCCAGGCGACGTGCAGCACCAGGAGGTAGTTCGGGTAGCCAATCACGTCCCTGACGAGGAAGTCCGCCGGCAGGACGTACAGCAAGCCCTGGTGAAGACGAGGGATGCGGAACCTTGACAGCGAGCCACCGACACAGGGGAAAGACTCTGGGCATGCGGGCGCTCAACGGAAGCGATCCGGATCGCCAGACACCGAGGGGTGTCGAGGGGGCAGCTTGGGCGGACCCGACCAGACCAAGCGGCAAGTGGCGGGAGGAAACGGCCAGAGGGCCGTAGAAGGACAGGACAGAAGGCGAAGAGCCGAAAGGGCGGGTGCGAGCGCCACGCGCTGCCCAGGTGGAAGGTGGCTGGTGGGGACACGCGAAGCGTGAAGAACTGTTTGTTTTCTGGCCCGAGGCCCGTCGGGGGCCCCCCGGGGCCGAAACCTGCAAAAAACCTGCCGCCACGACTCCTTCACGACGCGCGGGGGTCAGGGTCCGCCGCCGCCTTTCCACGAGCGCGCTGCTTGGCGCTCACTCTCGCACTCCAGTCGCGGGCGGGCTGGCGCAGGGGAGGCGGGGGCGGGGGGCGGCGGCGGCAGAGGGAGGAGGTGCATTGGGGGAGGAGCGGGGGGGGGCGGGAGGGAGCAGGGAGAGGGGCGTGTGGCAAGCTAGGTGCGCTCGCGCCTCATCTGACATCCTACATCCATCCCTCCCATCACTTCCCTATTGCGCTGAGTTTTCTCCATCCGCGGACGCGTGTCATAGCCGATCAGCGACTCAAACAGAAAAGGACCATGTCGTTATCTGCGCAATCGGAAAAAGGCGAGCTGCGTGCAAAGGAGGAGGAGGAGGTGGCGGGTGAGCAGGAGGATGAGCGGGAGGAAAAGGATGAGGACGAACAGCAGCAGCAGCAGCAGCAGCAGCAGCAGCAGTAACTAAAGCGGAAGGATCGGGAGGGAAAGGATAATCAGGGGAAGGGGGAGGAGGGGAAACGAGGAGGGCGACAACGATGAAGAGAGAGTCGGCTTCAGAGAAGCGGCCCGCGCTGGGGCAAGACGAGCAGCAGCAGCAGCAGCAGCAGCAGCAGCAGCAAGAAGTGCAGTGGAAGAAGCGGGAGGAGCAGGAGGACCAGGGGAAGTCGGAGGAGGGCAAACTGATGGAGTGACCATAGTGAAGCAAGGCTTAGGTCGGGCATGTCTTGCTACAGGCGGATTCTGGAAAAAATGAAAAAAAAATCCGCCGGCCCCCTTGTGGGGCCATCAGGCTGCGAGGATTAGGTTGCAGTGCCCTGCGCCAGTTCCAGCTTCCAGTTTCCAATGTTACAGTCCTGCTTTCTGTTTCCTACTGTAAAATGTTTGAAATCTGCGCGAGCGGGGAGCCGAAAAGGGCATGGTCAACACACCCGAGTCGCGTT